TATAGTGGGCTTTCTAGGAAGCCTTCTGATTGGCAATAAAGAAAATAAATAATATACATATATTTGAAAAAAAGAAAATTAATATTTTGATTATTTATTTCGAGAGCTTCCGGGAAGGAAGCAATGCCTTTGCCACTATCTTAACACTAACATCGAATAAATCCTTTTATTATTATTATTATTATTAAAATAAAAAATTAATGTAGATTAATAATTATTTAGGGAGGAATATTTTAAAAACTTTTTAAAATTGAAGGGTGTTATTATTTTTAGTGAATAGAGTCGAAGTGAAGATGTGTGTTCTTTTCCGTTTGGTTTGAGTTTGGACGTGGCAATTTTTGATTGGGTGAAATAAAAGTGGAAATTCAATTTAAAGTCGGAATTTTTCCATTTTTTGTATTTGGAAAATGGTTTGATTCACCCACTCCTCCGAGAGGACAGTTGTTTCACATTGGCTTTATTTTAATGCACCACTCTCTCTCTCTCTCTCTCTTCATATATATATTTATTTTGTTTATTCATCCACCAAATTATTAATATACTAATTTAAACACTTTTTTATTAAAAAAATAAAAGACATTTACATAAAAGAATCTTGTAGATGTTGGCTTACAAATGGGTGGTATGATCCACGGTTGTCACACACAAACTATGTTGGGGTTCCTTAATCAATTTTCTTTTTCCCATTTAAAATCCTCTTTCCAATTACTTTTCCTAACTTCTCTTTTATTTTTTATTTTTAAATTGATATATTTTGCCACTTGCTTATAATTTTTATTAATATCTAACGCTCTATCAAACTATACACTATACGTTGCTATATGTATAATATAAAGTTGGCATCTTTTTGGTAGTTGAGACATAAAAGCATCATGACTTGACTAGACTAGGTAGGCGCCTCAACTTGATATTTTGATGTTACATGATAAATTTCTGTAACCTAGGATTATCTATTAGTATAAAAATGAATGACCGAAATTTAGACGGGAGAATTTTGTAATTGGGAGATAGGTATAAGAGCTGAAACGGCTGCCGAGCCGAGCCGAGCCGAGCCGAGCCGAAGCAAGAATGGAGTAGCGAAGCCATTTGTGAACTTGAATGAATTAATTTGAATTAGAATAAATACAATATATATTTTCGGAGATGAATTAATTAATGAAGGAATTAAATAGTGATGTAAAGAATTGTGAAATTTGTTGCATCCGCCAAAAGGATACGACACAGTGCCAAAGCTGAAATTTCAATGATCATGAAAGCGACTTTCCAGTCTCTTCCACATTTCAATTCAATACATTTTTTTTTTTAATTTTTAATTTCTTTTAGGAATATTAAAAATCTAAACTGTCCATTTCAACTCTACAGAGTTCCCATAGTTTTTCCAAGGAAACTGTTATTGAAGACCCAACTTTAGTTGACCAATTACCACGACTTTTTTTTTATTTTTTATTTTATTTTTTTTTTAATTTTAATTAAATATATATATTTATTTATTTGTCATTTATCACTTTGTTTGTTTTTTTAAAAAGTCATTTTCAAATTAGGAAAAAATAATTATTTAAAATTGGTAGAAATTTTTAGAAAGCAAGATAAAGGAAATAAGGAATGAATAGATTTGTTTTGGTTGAAAATGGATTATCTAACTAATTAGTCTTATTTTGCATTTTTTTATATTTTAAGTTCAATATTCCAACTTTTGGGTAGGTTCCAACCTAGGTGGATAGACCAAGTCCTAACTCGAATTAACTCAAGTGAATGAACCAAGGCTAAGTGAGACGGACTATGTCGACCAAGGTAAAAGATGAGTTGAAGCATATGAATCAAGTGAGGGTATAGAGACCCATCCACATGGGTTGGTTGAGGCTAGTAAGGCTTAGCCCAAGTGGGTTGATGTTAAGCCAACTTGTGTGGGCCACGTTCAAACTGGCATTCAAAAAACTAGAGTCTAACACAACAATGAATAGCTTTGACTAATTTACAATCCAACTCTGTAACCATGACAAGTTAGTAGATTTCAAAACACTTACGTATTACTCTCTAAACTATTGTAAGCACCTTGGTCTTTGTATTTTCGCTACATATACATATCCAATCAATTGGCTAAAGTATCCAATCACAAGCTTTCTTTAAATTGACTTCTTTTGGGCGTGTGTGAAAAGTTGACTTTTAAATTTAATTAAAACTGGCTTAAGAGTGTGAATGAGAGAAAGTCATTTGTGGGAGGAGGGGCCTAAACGCGTGACCAAACAATGAGTCTGCCTTTAAAATGTCAAGTCAATGGAGAATAATCGAATGGACGACACTGTCGTTTTCACGGCTCCTTCCACGCTATGAGTAAACTAATACGTTAACTTATAACCTATCATTTCAGTTTTACCTAGTTTTCACATGGTTTTGAATTTGTTTCTCTTCATTTTATTTTAGTTAAATTAATAAAAATATCTTTTAATTTAATAATTTATCTAAAAAAAATACTTCTAAATTTTTAACTTCTCAATAATACTTTTAAACTTTTTACCCAATTTATAAAACACATTTTTTTTAAATTGTCAGTGCTTTGTCTCAAAAGTTTTAAACACTTTAATTAATATATATATTTATTTTTTTTTATAATGTTTGAAAATATAATAATCCAAAACCTAGAACAAAAAAAAAAGATTTGTCACACATAAATGAGGAGTTAACTATAAAAGAAAAGTCTCTTACTTCATTTTGTTATTCCATTTGAATGGTTTGAATTTGAAAGTAGCTAGAGAACTGACTGCTCTAGGCCATCATTTTAGTTGATGAGGTATGATAAAATTGGGCTTTCTTGTTGGGAAGCTTTTAACTACCTTTTAGCTATGTAGCTCGTTTAAATTATTTTATACTAAATTAGGGGCTAATTCATGAATGCTAATTTATAACTGTGGGTAGAATTAAATTTAAAGGTGTAGCGTTTGCATTAATGAGTCATAGTAGCTTCGGTCTAGGGCGAACTAAGTAAGTGGATTTACTATCTATTCAGTCGAAAGACTTGTCTTATGTATGACGATACATGCGTAACCTTTGCACGTGTCATTTATGCTTTATACCTAGCCAACATTTAGATCCGGCTCTATCCAAACTTTTCTGGTTTACCCCAGCATTCCTCACTTGTCCACTGTTGCTGAGCAATTTTTGGATATCAAATGGACCTCCCCAAAAGGTAATTTTAATGTGGCCGATTTCTCCACTTTTGCAATCAGTTTCGCTACAGCACCCTGGCCAGAACCACGCGTGCAAGTTTCCCTGCATGTGGCTCGTCCGTATTTTTCAAGGCGCTGGCTGTAACTCAGCATGGGAGAAGGGGGCGGAACTGCACACTTTCGTTATTCGATAATGTGATGATGTTATATGATAATGTAACGACCAATACAATAGAAGAACCTAAAGGTCCAACAGAGAAAAGGGAAGAGGAATTGAAGCATGTCACGACTTTGTGGCAAAGTATTTTGATGGCTTGTGATGGAGCACTTTCACTTCCTTGCATCGACACTGCCCCGTGATTCGCCAAACTGCAGGAAGAGAGAGCAACCAAAGTAAGTTATATAACACACCTCAATGCGCCATTTACGCCTATTCCTGAGCTCAAAGCTTGTGTTGTCGCTGCTACTCGTGCAGCAGTAGTCGACCCCTTTGACAAGCTGCTGAGCATATACGTAGGAGGGCATGGGTTAGGTGCAAGCAGATGAAGCTTTCACGTACCCCTGTGCGTACATGTTGATGCCTTCAAAAGACTTCAAATTTGGATAAGATTGGATTGTGAAATCTCGTGCTTCATCAATTTACGAATCTTATCTTTTAAAGCCCATTATGGTGATGTGTTGTTGATATGGACTTCTCTATTCATCACATCAACCACTCAATTCCTTCCTTTTAATTAACAATAAATCTTATTTATTATTCATTATAACCTACCTCATTAATCACTCTTATTTAACCATTTATTAAATCTAAATAATTATTAACGCACTTTCTTATTTTTTATAATAATAGAGTGATAGATTAAATTATCCAAGTTTGAAATGATATTTTATTAAATAAACTTAGCCTATTATATAAGAAGATATTATAATAAAGAAACAAAACTTTTAATCCATTAATCACATTTGTTTATTAAATTAATTTTTATTATTACCCCAAAGTTACTCTCAACCATAAAATTGACTGTTTGCTTAAGTAATTTGCGATTGCATTCGGATAAAATCATTAAACAAACTAATTGATTTTGAAAAAAAAAAAAAAATCTTAATTTTTTTGTTGAAGAAAAAATGTAAATGAAATCAACTAAAAATTGGTCTATTTTATATATTTTTTTAAATTTAAACCATATTATAAAGTCCAGTAATTTGACAATTATAGTTCCTCCACCTGCATCCGTCTATGCCCCAAATCGATGGGTAGATTAGCTATAGTTCCTCAATCTGCATCAGTTCATGTCCCAAATTGATTGATAGATTGATTTATCACCTTTCCACATCTGATTGGGGTATATCGTTGGTCTCCTTCCGCTTCACTCCAGACAATTTCAAGCACTATCTGACTGTCTTTTCAAAGTATTTTTCATGTTTTCTCATCCTACTTATTTGATATCAATCTTTCACCGCCTTGGACATAATTTAGTAAAGTGGAATTATTTATAAACTGATTTTTTTTAATTCAAATAAATAGAAATTTTAAAATTTTAAACAATGGAATGATATTTTTGAAGTACAATAATAACTTGAAGCAATCAAATTCTAACAAATTTGTGTTTTTTTAGTTCCACTTTTTAAACCTTATTGATAATCTAATAGATATTTTATAAGTAGCATAAAAGTTTTCTGAAAATGTTGAAGAAAATTTAAGAGGATAAAATTCTATTTATTTCATATATAATCCTTTCCAACGATTTAGTGTCGTTTAGGTCGCATTAGATTTGAAGTTGAAAAGAATTTTGATTTTTTAACAAATGTGCTTTAAGGGTATTTTATTATTATGATGATGATTATTATTTGGGCTTAGAAAAAACCAAATTTGAAAGGAATCGGTGTCTTGAAGCAAAAAAGAAACCGCAAGTTTATGGAGAGAAGCAATCCAAGGAATTGTTTCCCATTAAAATACTTTTTGTCAATTCAATCTCTCTCTCTCTCTCACTTCTTTCATCTCCCTTTCTAAATCCAATCCCTTTCCTTCACAGTTCCGATCATGAAGCAGTCCACCATCGCCGGCTGGCTGAACAATTACAACAACCTCAAATCTAATCCCGAAGCCCTAGATTCCACCGACATGCTCCTCGAATTTCCCTACAAGCCCTGCGTTGACCTAATTCGGAATTGCGATCTTCCGCCGCCGCAGAAGTTATTCACGGCCTCCGACAAGGGGGCGATGGCGGCTAGAGGTAGAGGTCGGGAAGAAGTGGAAACAGGGGGGATGGAGGAGAAATTGGAGCTGTTGAAGGCTCTGAGACTGTCGCAAACGAGGGCGAGAGAGGCGGAGAGAAAGGCGGCGAAATTGATGGAGGAAAGGGATTGTATAAGTAGGGCTTTTGAAGATGAGGCGAGATTGATCTTCTGTTACCGACAGTCGCTGAAATTGATGGAGCTCAGAGTTTCCAAGTTGAAGAAGAGGAAAGAAGAAGAAGAAGACAATGGCAATGGCAATCGAGGAGTGAAATGGGTTTGGGCTTTGGCAATCTGCTTGAGTGCTGTGGGAGTCGGCATTCTCTTGGGCTATACTGCTTGAGTGTTGTGGGAGTCGGCATTCTCTTGGGCTATACTTGTAGCAATGTTGGTGAAGACCCATTTGTTGTCAACACCTGAATGTATTTACCATTTTACCCTTTTCATTAACTTTTATAATTTATTTTTCTAATCACATACATTGGTGTGGAGATTCAAATATGATATTTAAAAATTAAAATCAAAATCAATTGAAACCATTAGGGCAGTAAGTTAGAAATATTAATACACAGAAAGAAAATGTACATTGATAATTTACACAGATTATATGCTTCTATATGAAAAACAAGGGTAAATAGCTTTGCCTAAATATATATATTCTATAATTATACACATACATACCACTAAATATGTGGCTTCGCATGGGGGGAGGGAGGAGAGGGAACCCTGTGTATTATATACGCCTAGCAAACCTACCTAATATATAACTCATTTATACATATATTCAGTAATGAGGCTTAAACGAAGGCCATATGAATGCTCCTCAAATGACCATAACATTCATCACTGCTACCAAAATAATCCAAACAGACCCAACAAATATGCCTTCCACACTTGCATTCAATGTGGTTACACCCTTCTATCTTCTCAATCGTGTACCCGCAGGCGGGGCAGTTCTTGACGTTCTCTTTACCTTTGCGCCACTCGTCCAGTGACGAATCTGGGTCTTCCTTGAACACTCGGTACTGTTCGCACGATAGGAATGGATGATACTCCAAATGGCATCTGGTACAAGTTTCTGAGAAGCATGCTCCACACATGAATGGTTCCCCACATGTATCGGGACTGGCCACTCGGTAAACTGAGGGGCAGTCGGGTGATGGGCAAAATCTATACGCACTGTCACCAGCAACAAAAGCTCCCAATGAAGCTCGAAACAGTTCCTCCAGCTTCTCGTTCGACAACAGATATCTCATATCTGTAAGTAATATGGGTGACTGACATGTTTGTTTGGCACAACAAACTGGGAAGCTTCCATGGTTTTTGATGGCAGATTCAAACTGTTCCACAAGGCATTGCCGGCAAAAATGGTGTCCACAGGCTTCAAGTTCAAACCTGTCGTCTTCAATGTCACATAAGCAAATTGAACACGCATCTGCATCATCAGGCCTCTCGGCTAAACCACCACTCGTCTTTTCAAGCTCATAAATAATTGTTTCAACTTCCTGCTTCAAATCTTTACTACCATGGACAGATAAAATATGATGCCGGGTATTTAATGTAAATCCAGCTTCTGGAAACTTCTGTTTAAGGCCATTGAGGTCAGGGCCGAACTTCTCAACCACAGTCTTCAGGAGGTTGGGAGGCCGAGATTTGCCTCGAAGGTGAATCTCAAGTTGCTTGCGCTCATGAAGTGTCTGTAGGGATTGAATCAACTTTCGCTCAGCTGCAGCTACGTTCTCAGAAGCACCAAAAATTCGTAGACTAAGTCTCTGCCTGTCAAAGAGAATGTAGACTTCATTTTCCCGCTGTAGTAAATTTATTAGATCAAAGCCATCTCTAGAGGTCAGATGCTGAAGAACTGTAGGAGTCACGCTAGCATGATCTATAATCTTCCCTCTCAGAAGTGCTTCCACTGGTCGTCTCAGCTCGGCTACTGTTTTCGTGGCATTGGCAGAAAGCTTCACTCGGTAGGAACCGTTGATGTTTTGAGAAAGAGTGCATTCCGCACCTGGTTAACATGAAGATTCAAGGTCATTAGAATCTGACAAAAGCCAAGATGACATCTTTAATCATTCAAGTTTACCCCAACTTCAAGTAGGGTTGACACTGACACATGCTTATGATAAATGCAGAAATGATGCTAAAACGCAAATCTGCAACAAATAAACTTCATCTTTGCCCAATGTAGCCCAATATAGCATAACCAACAAAAGTGCATGCCAACTTTTATGAGTATGAAATGTTAAAGAACTCATGTAGTAACTACAGACATTCAACAGTTTCAAAGTTGTTCAGAGATAAAGATAACGTGTATATATATTGAGAAAAAAACAGTCAGCACACATAATCTAACAGTGAAAAAAACGAGGATCCAATAGAGAAAATACCATCTATCTTCTTCAAGCTTTCAAGTAGGGAATTCAGTTGACATTTGATCACCCGAAATATGGGGATGGTGCAGGATAGAGTGCTATGAAATAGCTGCTGGCACTTAATTTTCTGCCATGGGAAACATATTGGCAGTGATTTTCCTTCCAAATACTCCAAAGCTTTTGCTGCCTCCAAGTGCAATCTTCCATCAAAAGTTATTGCAGCTCTCATGTAAAAATCCTTGGGTTGAGGTTGAAAAACTTGAACGTAGCAACATTTGACATGAGGGTGGGATTTAGGCATAAAAGCAGAGATTTCTTTCAGAAGAGCTTCTTCACAAGCATTGACTGGAGGATTATTAACAGGATTTTCCCGAACAAGAAAAAGATCCAAAATTTTCCTGTCTGTTGCAGACCTCAGAATATTAAAAATATCAGCTTCAGAAAGCTCTTTGTCGATTCCACTTAAGGTAACACAGTCATTGTACTTTATGCTAGGTTCACAACGTAAGAACCTTTCTCCAATCAGTAGGTTAGAGAAATCATTAACAAGGAAACTGACATCATAACTGTTACATTTAACAACTGCAAATCCTTTGCTCAACCTACGAGGCCAGAAGACTTTAGCTTTGACAGGAGGAAAAGAGAAAAGTTTATTATCACATCCAGCAGTGATCCGCATAGGAATTATCTTCACCAAGGATCCACAAAAGAAACCACCATCGAGCTTCAAAGCTTTTTCAGCTGCATCAGGAGTAAGAAATGTTATTCTATGTCCTCTTTCTTTATCATCATCATCCTGTCCAGAACATGGAACTTTTTGAATAGTACAAATAGTACCAGAAACAGATTTCTCAAGAGACATAAAAAGTTCCTTATCATCAATGGAATCCACATTCGAACGAAATACATCAACAGTCAAATATCTCTTCTCAAGCTCCAGATGTCTTATTTTAGCACCAGAACCCAACAAAGCAACAGGAGGCGAGCCGCCATTTCCATGATACAAGCATTTCTCCATGCATTCATTCCATAAATATTTCCTTTCATACTCCAAAATATCATTTACAAAATGATACACCGCATCCATGTTCTCTGATCTTGAGAACAACAAAACCTCATTCTGATTTATATTTACTTCAATGCCCATGCAGTCATCACTGAAAACTTTACGAACATGTGATGTAAGAGAAATAAGATTACTGTTGCTTTTTCCACAAACCCTTTTAAGCAGAGTTTTGCCAAAGCCACTAAGAGTTCGTACCTCCAGCCTGTGTTTCTCCATAAGAGAAATGTCAAACAAAGGGGGAGGGGAAATGGTAGACAAAGCATCTACATCAATGGCAGTTACGCATACCAAATATTCATTACTTATTGACAAAATTTCACCAAACACCACCCATTTGGGCTTCTCACTAAATATTAGCAAAGAACATGATGGATGTAGCTGAACATGTCGTCCAGTCATTGCCACTTCGTAACCCAGTCGATCATAACCAGTGAACATGGCCACATTTTCAGAAAGAGAAGCAAGTATACACTTCTTAAGATTTCTGTCATGATCTGTAGGCTTCAGCGAACTCCATAGCCAGTAACTTGGGATGATAATGTTAAGTTCTTGTTTGAGACAACGTTCCAATTCCAAGATGGCATCTTGGCATCTTCTCATAGTTTTGGCATTAATGCTGTTCTCCCAACACCATTGGTTTTTCCTCTCCCTAGGCAAGGCTTCATATTGTTTATAAACTGAGAGCAGAGTGAAAAGGTCACCATCAGGGTGGCAAAATTGAACCTTCTGGCAATCAGATTTTAATTTATCTTCAACCTTACCAACTCGGCAAAATATACTACTAGCATTTGTCATTAAAACAGCAAGTACAACACCCTCTCTACGTACACGACAATTGAAGCAACCAAGAATCAACTTGCCAAGGCGTGGCTCAATGCCCAACTTTACTAAATTACGACCTTCATTTGTTAATTCATAAACATTACTATTCAGTGTAATAGCTCCCAACTGAACGAGATTCCTGATGGCCATGTCAACAGCTTCTGCACTGGGAGCATCTACAAAGTCAAAATCATCTACATTCTTTACACCCAAGGCAAGAATTCTCAATATTGCAACACCAAGATGAACTTTTCGAATCTCAGGTTCATGGTTAGGAGACATTAACTCAAAGTCAGACTGGGAGTACAGTCTATAACATCTTCCAGGTTCTGTTCTACCAGCACGACCAGCTCGCTGATTAGCAGAACTCTGACTGGTTCTGCATACCTTAAGGATATTCATACCATTTCTAGGTTCAAATTTGCTATCTTTCACCCAACCAGGATCTATAACATACTTCACCCCAGGAATTGTCAATGATGTCTCTGCAAGATTTGTGGCAAAAATTACCTTTCTTTTTCCAGGGTGGTCCTGGAAAACTCGAAATTGCTCATCAAAGGATTGCTTCCCATGAAATGCCAAGGGAACTGTACCGGGAGCATGAAAATTTTCGCATGCCCATTCCACTTCCATCTGAGAAGTCAAAAAGGCAAGAATAGTCCCTCCCTTTTCTTTCCAGTGAATCTCTGATGCCATTCTTACAACATCCGTAACATATGAAGCAACAATGCAAGGACCAGAAGAGCCTTCATCCAAAGAAGGAACATATCTAATATCAACAGGAAAGTTCCTCCCCGGTACATGAAAGATTCCACAACCAAAGAAGTACTTTGATAGCTGATCTGCATTGGCTGTTGCAGACATAATAATAAGATGCAAATCAACTCTCTCCATGAGTAAACTTTTCAGTAGTGCAAAAAGGAGATCAGTATTCAAGCTTCTTTCATGAGCCTCGTCAATTATAATGCAGGAAACATCAGAAAGTTTCTTATCATTCATGTAGTGCTGCAGTAAACAGTGGTCTGTCATGTATATTATCTTAGATTTGAACTGTTGAGCAGATGAAAATGATGGATAACAACTTATACAATCATCATCATAACACCCACGGCTTTCTTCTCTCACCCTATGGGCAAGGGAGATAGCAGATATCTTGCGAGGCTGTGTACATACAATTGACTTAGAAGAAGAAAGGCCCGAATCAGCAAG